TGATGAATATCATTCATGAGAAATAAAGTTTCATTTTTATTATATAATATTCTTTTGTGTAATTTAAGATTTGATGTGTTATTTTATGAATGTATTACTGATTGGATATATATATATTGATGATAATAAAGTCCTTGATATAACAAAAATTCAACTTATTTTAAATATGAAAGGATCATAATTGGATATTTGGCTAAAATATGATAAGATTCCTCCAAATTTAGAGGTATATTTTTGATATCTTTATTTTAAGGCTTTGTAATTTAAGTTATTAAATTTGTCTTGAAGGATCTTTTGTGAAATATAATTTAATAATTCTCCTACCCAAATGAAGGTACTTCCTTAGATCCTCCGCTCAAAATTCTTAAAACCTCACACTTTCTACCAAATTCTAAACTTCTATTCAACCTGTCAATCTTAAAATAAATGTTATACACAATATTTTTTTTACTTTTCGAATCCTTTTTATTATTTTTTTAACGAATACCGTTTCTTCATTATAATATTATTTTATTTTCCACCAATCAGCAATGTGCGCAGTTATTGTTGATTGGCATTTTCTTTATAAATATCTATTTATCAATCATGAGAGGCTATGACAGGTATAAACACCTTCCCGAATTATTTCTTGAGGTCCGAAGGGGAGGAGTAAGCGTTCGATTTAATTTTTTCCATCGAACAGCTGATGTTATGCCGCCAGCTGGTAGGAAAAATGATTTGGATCCATTAATTTTTGGGAATAATTAATCTTTTTCCAATTCCATATTTTTTGAAAAGTTCATTGTTTTTATGATCGACTAAAATCCGAGCATGCGCAACGATTCCAGGTTTTGTGTTCAAGATGGGATCCGAAATCCCTAAAAAGTATTGAATGGAATTGATTGGCTATTGATAAGTAGCTTCACCTCCAAAGAGAATAAATAAAACGTTGGTTAGAGCGAACCAATGATAATTCTACATTCTGTCATCTAAAACTCTAAATTCTACAGAGACCTGCAGGCCTCTAAGCCCGGCCCTGTCGTATATTTAAAAAAATCCGAGCATGCGCAACGATTCCAGGTTTTGTGTTCAAGATGGGATCCGAAATCCCTAAAAAGTATTGAATGGAATTGATTGGCTATTGATAAGTAGCTTCACCTCCAAAGAGAATAAATAAAACGTTGGTTAGAGCGAACCAATGATAATTCTACATTCTGTCATCTAAAACTCTAAATTCTACAGAGACCTGCAGGCCTCTAAGCCCGGCCCTGTCGTATATTTAAAAAAATCCGGGCCGGGCCGTACAGCTGGTACCTCCACAGGTCTTTGAAATTCTAGCATAGTGCACAAAAGATTAAATTTATTTTCTTCGCCCGATAAATTAGAATGATAAGAAATCGTATATTAAAACAAAATAATTAAGGAATGAACGCCAAATGTTCCATCTGAAGCAACCTTGACATTAAAGAATGTCCCGAGGAAAAATTATTGGGAGAATAGTAAATTTTTCATAACAATAAAATTTTTAAAAAATAAAACAATATTCATAAATAAAATTTAAATTACATGGAATTAGCGATACAAAACGCACCCGAAATTTAAATAAAAACACGAAATAAAAATAAATACAAAAAATAAATAAATAAATGAAATGAAATGAAAATTAAACCGATATTTTCAAAAAAAAAGAAGAGTTTATTAAAGAAAATAGATAATTGTAGATAGATTTTAACTCGAAACAATTAGAGTTGCAAAGTGCTGGAAATTTTGATTTGTCATTTTGGTTGAAAATGAATAAAAACCATTATAATAAATTTTTAACCATTTTAAAAATTATGATATATTTATATTTTGCGAATCCCTAGTAAAAATTGACTTCTCTAACGCCTACAACACTCTTTCGCGCAACACGTTCCTACATTCAACTTGCTTCCATTTCCCCGCTTATACCAAATTTCTTTTCTCTTGCTACCAATCACCAACAATCTTACAATTCAACAAAGAAAAGATACTTTCTGTGATGGTATCCAACAAGGTGACCCTCTCGGATCCCTTCTCTTTAGTCTTGGAATCAATGACATGATAAAATCAATAAACTCTTCATGTACTCTATCGCTCCACGCTTGGTATATTGATGATAGAATCTTGAGTGGTCCCAGTAGTGAAATTGCCAAAGCAGTCACCATATTTAAAGAAATGGGCACAGCCATTGGACTTTCGCTTAACCAGAGCAAATCTGAATTCTCACTTTTAAATTCTAATGCTCCCAACACTCACGATTTCAAATTCACATCAAGCGTTGAATTAACACATCTAGGATCGCCTGTTGGAGGACACGAGGCAATAAGCACCTTTCTTCATTCCACACTTGACATACTCCTTAAACTGGAGGACATCTTTACACTTCTTCCACCACACAAGTCCTTTTTTTGCTAAAAAATTTCTTTTTTATACCAAGGATTCTTTACGCACTTCGGTCAACACCAATTTTTAAATATCCTATTCCTCTCCAAACTTACGAAAAAGGAATAATGGACTTAACCGAAAAAATAGTAAATATCAGATTCAACGAAACCGCTTGGACCCAAGCAACTCTTCCAACCAAATTTGGTGGTCTCGGCATCAGATCTCCACTTGACTTAGCAACAACTACTTTCATATCGAGTAGTCTCTTGACAAAGCCAATAACCACCGCCCATAATTCTAAAGAAGACCTTTCCTTAATCGTGGCTATGGATATTTGGAAAACAAGGATCAATGCTGATTCTCATCCCCCCACAACCCATAAACAGAAAGACTGGGATACACCAGTGGTTGCTCGCTGCGTTGAAACTCTCTTATCTAGCATGCAATCTACCGACCGCACCCTATTCTCTTCCTTGCTCAATGGTACGGGACATGAGTTTCTTGAGGCCATCCCATCTACCAATCTTCAGCTTCAACTATCCAACAATGAATTTACCCATGCCATCGGCATTCGTCTAAATTGTTCCATCACTCACCCCCACATCTGCTCAGGGTGCAACTAGCCAGTTGACTCGAAGGGTAGACATAGTTTACATTGTCGCTCCTGCAATGGACGATTCATCAGACACAAGCAATGTAATACAATCATCCAACATGTCTGAAATCCGCCCAAATTCCTTCCACGTTAGAACCACAGGGTCTTTTTAGATCTGACGGTAAACGTCCTGATGGGATCTCTCAAATCCCATGGAGGAGAGGTCAACTTTTGGTATGGGACTATTCCTGTATTGACCCCTTGGCCCCATCCAACCACGCCATCAACATCCTTGACCAGAAGGAACAACTTAAAATTTCTAAATACACAGAAATAATAAACGATCATTGCTTCATCCCAATCATATCAACCACTCTTGGCACCTTCGGCAAACTCGCCTTAGCATTTTTCAAAAACTTAGGATCACAAATCAGCAAACTCTCAGAAGAACCTCGAGAGGGTTTTTTTCTTCGTCAACGATTATCCAAAGCGATTCACAAAGCTAATTATATCAGTTTCAATGGTAGCCTTCTAGCCAAAGAGCTATCATAGACAACGCTTACGTTCCTTTTTCATTTTTGTTTCCCTGCGTCACACCATCTCCGTTCTTTTTTTTTAATAGTATTATTATATATTTTTCAAATATTTTTAAATATATTAAAATTTATTTTTAAATAATTGATCTTATTATCAGGTTAAATTTATATATGCAATATATATTATATCTATGACAATATATATTATATTATAATAAATTAAAAAAAGGAGAAATATCAATTGGAAACATTTATAATGAAAAGAATTAGCGATATTCAGGGGCCTCTTAGAACTCTTGACAGATTTTAAGTATGAAGAGTCATAAAGAAATTAATGCGATATTCATATAGGATGTTAAATTTGGTGACTAGTCTGGACACGATCTATTGATTATATTAAAAGTGATAAATTCAAGATAAAAATAAAATATTAATTCAGCCCATTATAGAAACGTATAAAATTGTAATTTATGGTCATAAAAATAAGTATACTATTTAATTTTTAATTTTCATCTTTATTTTGAGAACTCTTTCCTTAGTCATAGGAATATTTCCTTTTTACATTTTTATTTCATTCTATTCTATTCTCATTCTATCCTATCCTATCCTATCTTATCTTATCCTCTCCTAGCCTATCCTAACCTAACCTAATCTATTCTATTCTATTATAATTTATTCTATTCTAATTTATTTTATTATATTTTCGCTTTGACGTTTTTGTCAAACTTGGAATCATCTTTTTAGGGCATATTTTTTTTCAATTCATAAATCCGATCTAACCGGAAGTGTACTCCCTCCCAGCATTAATTTTTTAGACAATAAGTTTAATTTTTTTAATCATTTATATAATTTTATATAAAAATTCATAGAAAACACACAAAGTTTCAAAAAATTCGTGACATAATTTATCTGAAATTCATTAGTTATTCCAAACATGGTGGAATACATTCCCGCTTAATTTTGATTTAAACGCGCACTACAAATTGTCGGAAATAACACAATGCCGCTAACATAGATAAGGGGAACGTCACCCACTCCAATTATAAATCTTCTTTCTACAAGACTTGAAAATAATTTAATTATAGGTGGGACCTATTTATATCGATTTCAATACGATAGAATTTTATTTAAGGTTTGAGCGAAAGGTGTCACAACCGAACAGTTAAACGAGATATTGCTGAAAAAAAATACTTTTTTTAAGATCGAATTAAATTTATTATAGGCAAATCTAGTTTTAAATTTAAATTAGAAACCCAAAAATACATGCCATTTGACAGATCGCAAGTTTAACTAAAACAGCGGTCTCGACTCTTAGAAAAACTAAGATAACTGTAAAATTTTTTGGATTCTTCTGATCCTGCTTTTATAAGATGTCCCTTGGTGTAGATTTAAAATTTTTATTAAAATATTTATAATAAGTAACAATGTGAATAGCAATTAATAGAGCTATATTATATAAAAAAATAATAATATATTGCATAATTTGTTTCATAGAGTTTTCAATCGAGATTTATCGTTGTTGGGTACATTTTGCAGTTGCAAATTGGGCATCCATTACTATTTTCTTGAACAACATTTCCATATGGACAGACGAAGCACATAATAGGAGGGCACAGAGGCTGAGCTGCTACAAATCATGAAAAATTTTACAAGACATGCAAAAAATAAGTATTCTATAAAATGCTTTTTCTACTTTTTTTTTAACATACCTCTAGATGCGGAATCAGGATAATCTTTACAAGAACAGGTTGAACAGCCATTAGCATCCACTACGTTACCGTATTCGCAATATATTAAACATTTGATAGGAGAACATCTAGATCTGACTAATAAGAAAAAATAAATAGAAATTAGGAGTTTAAAAGGAATATTGCATACGTTTGTGTTAGAGAATTTGAACACCGTTCAAGAATATTTTTTATTTAATTTCTAAAAATAAAATTGTGAAAATATTGTATTTAAATAGAAGCATTCAAAGACACTAAACGCGGCTAATATACGGCGTAATTAATTCTTAGAACAACTCAATCGCCCTGTAGTTAAAGTGCGGAGAAAAAAAATTATGAATCATTCCCGTGACCCCGGAGGGATCCGAAAAAGGCTCATGATTGATGCGAATAAAAAAAAAATCGTACCCGTCGTATCTACAGCTGTAAAGGCGTTCGAAACTAATCCGCTCCGCCCACCTTAAATTTTTTTTTTATAAAATATATATTCACAATTATATAACAGCTGATAAAGAATAGAACAATCTGTACTTTTGTTTTCGTAATATATAATGTAAAATTGGTCTCATGTACCTTGTGAAGAGTCAGACAACGACGCCAAGTTACTGGGTGCAGGGTTGCATTTACAGGTTTTACAACCATTGGCATCTAGAACATTTCCAAATTGACAGAATATATCGCAAACGGGTGGGCAATTCGGGTTTGGCTTACATTGACAGTTTGGGCATCCATGATGCCCAATAACATATCCATATGGACAGGGGGGGCACATGATAGGAAGGCACACAGTTGCTACACCTTCATGAAAATTTTTACAAGACATACAAAAAAAAAGTATTCTATAAATTACCTCTAGATCTAGAATCAGGGTATTCTTCACAAGAACAGATTGGACAGCCATTAGCATCCACACGTTTACCTAATACGCAAAATATGGAGCACTTATATTTAGGGCATCTTCTAGTGTCTAATAAAAAAAAAAATTTTTAAAGGAGTATAATTTAAAAGAAATATTGCTTATGTTTAATATAGATATTTGAGCACCTCTAACACCACTCTATAATATTAATCAAATATCTCAAAGACCCTAAGCGCGGGTAATATAGGGGGCTTAATTAAGTCTTAGTAACAACTCAATGTCATAAAATAGAGAAACAAAGCAATGATAAATTACCCAATTTGACTTACCCCTTGTAGTTAAAGTGTGGAGAAAAAAAAATTATGAATTATTTCCGTGACCCTAGAGAGATCCAAAAAATGTTCATGATTGATGCAAAAAAAAAGAAATTCGTACCCGTCGTATCTACAGCTGTAAAGGCGTTCGAAAATAATCCGCTCCGCCCACCTTAAATTTTTTTTTAAAATATATATTCACAATTATAACAGCTGTCAAAGATTAGAATAAGTAACACATCTTATAGCAGAGATTACCTTGTAAAGTAGTGTCGGGCAAGGACGCCAAGTCACTAGGTGCCGGATTGCATTGACAGGTTTTACAACGATTGGCATCCATAACATTTCCATATTGACAGAATATAGCGCAAACAGGTGGACAATTCGGGTTCGGTTTACACTGACAGGTTTTGCATCCATCGGCAGTAAAGACGTTACCGAACTCGCAATGTAACCTGCAAACATGTGGACATTTCCGGGCTAATACATTTTTTTTGAAATCATTCGAAAAAAGATTAGGTTGAGTGAAAGGTGTCACAATCGAACAGTTTAAGGTGATATTGCTAAAAGAAAATATCGATATTTTTTTTAGACAAATCTAATTTTAACTTAGAACCCAAAAATATATGTCTTTGACAGATCCGAAGTTTGCTAAAAAATGGCTTCTTCTACTCGTAGAAGAACGTCTTTTTTGATCCCGATAAAAGCTTTGGTCAGATCCCTGGCACATGTTTATAAGATGTACTTGGCAGGATTTAAAATAGATATAATAGCAATGCGAATATAGCACACTACCCGGTAGTTAAAGCGTGGGGAAATAAAATTAGCATCATTTCCGTGATCCTGGAGAGATCCGAAAAATGCTCATCAATGATCGTCACTCAAAAAAAATTACGAATAAAAAGGAATCGTACCCCTCATATCTACAGCTGTAACGGCGTCCGAAACTAATCCGCCCGCCCACATTTAACATTTTTTAATATAGAAACTACGACATTTTTTTTGTAAAATTCATCTTTTAGCAGATATACCTTGTGAAGTGTCGGGCAACGACCCCAGGTTATTGGGTGCAGGGTTGCAATCACAGATTGGGCATCCATTGGCATCCAAAACATTTCCAAATAGACAGAACATTTCGCATACCCCTGGACATTTCTTGGCTAAAAATGTATTTTTACAAATTTCTGAAAAATATTTCAAGTATTTTTTTCTTGAAATCATAGAAATTCGACGCAATAAGAAAATAGCAACAATTATTAGAAAATGCTAATGATTGATCTTTACTAAAAAAAAAAATTAAGAAATAGAAAGAATTCGTACCCGTCCTATCTACAGCTGTAAAGGCATTCGAAAGTAATCCGCTCCGCCCACCTTCAAAATTTTTTTAAATATATATATTCCCAATTATAACAGCTGATAAAGAATAGATCAATAATTTTGTTTTCGTAATATATAATGTGTAAAATTTATCTTTGTAGCAGATAATACCTTGTGAAGTGTCGGGCAACGACGCCAGGTTTCTGGGTGCAGGGTTGCATCTACAGATTGGACATCCGTTGGCATCCATAACATTTCCAAATTGACAGTATATACGGCAAACTCGTGGGCAATTCGGATTCGGATTACATTGACAGATCGGGCATCCATTGACATCCAAAACGTTTCCAAATTCGCAGTACATACGGCAAACGGGTCCGCATTTAGGGTTCGGCTTACATTGACAGGTTGGGCATCCAATGGCATTCAAGACGTTACCGAATTCGCAATACATCATGCAAACCGGTGGACATCTCAGGGCTAAAATAGTTTTTTTACGAAATTTGATCTAAAAGATATTGTTAAAAGTATTTTTTTTTTTTGAAAATCATAGAAATTCGTCAAAAAAATAATTGATGCCATAAAATCTTACGTGTCATCACTGACATTCCGTTATCCCGCTTTTCTAAGGTTGTCCCGTTCGCCGAAACGATCAAATTCACAGCTGTTAGGAATATTAAAACTAATGATTTCATATTTGCAATAAAAAATGATTTGTAATTTGTTAAAAAAAAATTTTTTTGTATTTTATAATGTATATGTAAATAAGTGAAGAAAAAAAAAGTTTGGGAAAAAGTAGGGATTTATATATGTAGTGGGATCATAATCATTATTCACCGGCCAATTCCTAATTTGCTTGATAAATTTCATTCTTTTTTTTCTCTATGCATATTATATATTTTGTATAAACTATTTAAATATTTCATGAATATTATTATTATTACAATTTAGGAAAATGAATAATAAAAAAAATACAAAAAAATTCGTTCAAACATTTTGAAAAGTTACAACAATTCAATAAAAAAGAAAGAAAGAAAGAAAGAAAGAAAGAAAGAAAGAAAGAAAGAAAGAAAGAAAGAAAGAAAGAAAGAAAGAAAGAAAGAAAGAAAGAAAGAAAGAAAGAAAGAAAGAAAGAAAGAAAACACCCTTTTTAATAATTATTGTAAGAGTTTTTCTTTTTAAATTTATTAAGTTATATGTCCAAAAAATCAAAAAAAAATTATTTGAATTCTCAAAACTTTTGGACCTTTAATGAAAATGAATTAAGAAGGCTATTTTAAATATAAACATATAAACATGTCCAAAATATAATTTTCTAATATTTTTATAAATCTCCCAAAATTAACATTTACGATTTGATTAAAATTTAAAAATTTGCAAAAGTTTTGAAACTTTTCGAAATTTAACAAAAAATTTTTATTTAAACTGATTTAGGTCTCCTTTGTAGTAATCACTAAAAATAGCATGTCACAACATGTAACTTAGAGAACATATAATGACAACTTAATTTTTTTAAATATTTTATTTGTATTCATTTAGTTAGTTTTGAACAACTAATAATTTTGGGAAGGGAGAAAAATCCTTTGATCAAATCTATCTCGGCTATGGCTAAATCATTTTTTTTCGTAATGATATGTTAAAATAATGATAATTACTATATACGTTACAATTATATCATATTATTTTAGAATGAAATAATCAATCAAATGAGATTGGTTTGCTAATCCATACTTAATTATACTATACCATAATATCAGGATGTGGCAAAGTATGTATATACACCTTTTTTATATTAAAATTTAAGTTTATTTTTTAAATTTTATATTATAAAAAAATTATAATTCATAATACTGTATAATATTTCATATAACACCAATCAGAGAATATAACATTATTCTATAATTCATTTTGTATTTTATTTTAGATCTGAACCAAAAAATTTTTGAACAATCATAAGACAAATACAATCGTTTGTCCTTGTTCAAGTCAAGTAAGAAAGAAAGAAAGAAAGAAAGAAAGAAAGAAAGAAAGAAAGAAAGAAAGAAAGAAAGAAAGAAAGAAAGAAAGAAAGAAAGAAAGAAAGAAAGAAAGAAAAGAAAGAAAGAAAGAAAGAAAGAAAGAAAGAAAACATCCTTTTTAATAATTATTTAAATTAAAAGTTTTCCTTCGTTTAAATTTAATATATTTCAAAATATCAAAAAAAATTAAACTCAAAACATTTAAAGACTTTAATGAAAATTAATTGAGTTATTTTAATTATAAACAACACTTTTTTATATTAATAAAATTTAAGTTTATTTATTTAAATTTATATCATAAAAAAATATATAATCATAATATAACATCTTTATTCTATAATTATGTCACATTCACTATTCCATTGTGTCTCTTATTTTAGATCTGAACCAAAAAAATCTTTGAACAATCATAAGACAAATACAATAAATAAAGGTATCTTCTATTAAAACAAGCCAAATTAGCGTTTGTCCTTGTTCAAATACTCTTTAGCCTCTACGAAAAAACCAAAAAAAGAAAGAAAGAAAGAAAGAAAGAAAGAAAGAAAGAAAGAAAGAAAGAAAGAAAGAAAGAAAGAAAGAAAGAAAGAAAGAAAGAAAGAAAGAAAGAAAGAAATGCAATTATTTATTAAAAAAATTCAAAATATAATATCCATAATTATAAAAATCTTGTCCCACTAAGAACGATCATCCCGATCTAGCCGAATGACAATGGGATTCGATCATGTTCTTAATTTCAAAAATTTTAAACGGAAGTGCGTGAATCGGAGTCTGCAATCTCCCCCCCCCCACCATTAATTTTAAATCTCTTCTTCTTTTTTTTTACTAATCATTTTTCCCAGTGAATCATCATAATAATAATAATAATAATAATAATAATAATAATAATAATAATAATAATAATAATAATAATAATAATAATAATAATAATAATTAATAATAATAATAATAATTATAATAATTATAATAATAATAATAATAATAATAATAATAATAATAATAATAATAATAATGATAATAATAATAATAATAATAATAATAATAATAATAATAATAATCGTGAAATATTTTAATAGTTAATTTGTATATAAAATATATAATATGCCTTGATAAAAAGAATAAAATTATCTAGAATACAAAATTTATTTTGTACAAAAATCATTTTTTTTTATCGCAAATATGAAATCATCGGTTCTAATATTCTTATCAGCTGTGACTTTGATTATGGGAATGTCGGTAGTGACATGTATGATTTTACGAAATTTATTTCTATGAATTCAAAAAAAAAAAGAAAGAATATTTTTTAGATCAAATTTTGTAAAAAAATAATTTTAGCCCAGAGATGTCCACCAGTTTGCTCTCAATACTGCCGATTCGGAAAAGTTGTGGATGACAGGGGATGTCAAATCTGTCAATGCAAATCAGATCCGAAATGCCTGCTCGTTTGTAATAAGCAGTGCGAGTACGGATACGTTTTGGATGACAATGGATGCCAAATCTGTCAATGTAAAATGAACAGGGTTTGCCCACCACTTTGCCCTATCATCTGTCCACTTGGAAATCTTAAGGATGCTGATGGTTGTAAAATCTGTAAATGCAAGACCCAGTAACTTGGAGTCGTGATCATACACTTCACACTGATGTAAAATTGTATCTTTACGAAAACAAAATTATTGATTGTACAAATCTTCAAAATCTACAAATTATATATTTATAAAATATAGTTATTCGCGTATTTTATTTTATTTGTTAATTTTTACATATAATTTTATTGTAATATATTTTATAATAAAGAATATCTTTTTTTTTTAAAAAAAACAAATATAAATTTAAATAAAATTTTTAAGGTATATGTGAGTTGTTAGAATTAATTCGTACATTACCCGCTCTTAGGGTCTTTGGGATATTTGATTATTATAAGGCGTAGAACACTTTTAATCGGTATGTAAATATCATTTATAGCACAGATATGGTTATTGAGCATCTTTCCGGTCAAATTTGGAAGTTATTCATTCGTGCCCAGCTAGATATTTCAATTATTCTTTCTTTTTTTCTTCCCTTCTGCATCAGTTTTATTCAGCCTATGTTTTTTTTATCCGTTCGCGTCTTATTTTATATACCAAAAAACAGCGAAAAATTAAAGCGCCTTTCCGGTTTAAATTTCTGCGTTATTCGTTCCGTGCCTTGACTGACATTCTTATCTATATATATCAATTATTTGTGACACAATTTTAAATTGGATACATTTTGCAGTTTCTTGCACAGATTTAAAGGGCTATCTTATCATTTCTCTCGCCTTATTGGAACTTTGCGTCACATGATCATTCATTTCACTCCCCGAGTCTTATTATGCTGAGAAAATCGAATACCTTAAACCTTAAATCGCTATTATTAGTTATAATTACTATGGTACCTCCGCATTCCTGCAGGTTCCTGATAAAGTTTATTCTCAAGAATAACCAATATAATTTGATTCATATGCCTTGGTGTCAGATTCAAAGAAATAGTTCTGATTGCCAAATAGGTTATAATGTAGTAGATCTTAAATGCAACAAATACATAAAGACGGTATCAAAATTGAAGTTAATAGGTGAACTAGCTATAGTTAAAAATCGTAATACCTCGAGCCGGGAACGGCCGTTGAAAATTTTTGCACAAGTTTTCCGGTCCGGTTCGAATATTATTTATCCGACCCGGCCTGTTTTTTTAAAAAAAATTGATCGGTCCAGACTCGCCCCACCCGTTAAAATTTTTATTTTTCTACAATTTTTTTTAGCCATACATTTCTAATATCTATATCCTATTTTAGTTTCCCTCCAATGTCAATTAAAGGGTTTCGTATCGTTCCTCTTTTCTACAATAAACCGATTCTTAAAAACCGGCTATCTCAATATCTTTAAACCCAGCTAACTCACAATTTTAGCCAGAAAATATTGCCTAAGACTCGAGATTTAATTAATAAATGTCCAAACCTTCGCTTCCTTCTACAAACAAAATCTTCAGGTCTTGCGTAATATTATTCTAGATGAAATATTGACTTAGCCATTTTTAAAAAATCGGCTCAAAACGAAACCGTTTAACACTACCGGATATCCGTATTTATCGCGCTTGCGCAGTTTTTCTTGGCCGGAATTTACAATATTATTTTTAGACTTAGTGTTTTAGTTCGGAACGGCTCTAAAAGAAGATACAAAGAAAATGAGCAGTTTGGTAATCAAGAAGAACATTGGCCTGTCGGATTAAAAATATATCAAAGTTCTAAAAACCCGGGAATCGTTGATATTTTTACCTGAAACCGACCATCAGATCGAGTTTTAAGACGGGTCGGGTTTCGCGTATAATATAAATTACGGTTACATATGTATCGTAGCAAAAGAATGTTAAAAATATAACCGTTTAAAATTTTTCCCAAAAGGTCTAAAAATTTTAATTTTTTTTTTCTTAAAATTATACAAATTTATATATAAAAAATATAATAATTCGAGCATTAAGGTTGTATCATATTTCTTTCTTTCTTTCTTTCTTTCTTTCTTTCTTTCTTTCTTTCTTTCTTTCTTTCTTTCTTTCTTTCTTTCTTTCTTTCTTTCTTTCTTTCTTTCTTTCTTTCTTTCTTTCTTTCTTTCTTTCTTTCTTTCTTTCTTGATTTGAACAAGGACTAAAGCTAATTTGTATTTGTCTTATGATTG